GGGGGGGGGGGGGTGGATGCTGGCGCATATATAGGGCTATATGGGGTTTAGGGGATGTTTCCCTAAATTAAGGATGGAGAATCAAATCCAAAAGTAAATTGGTTTAGAGTTTCTCAAAATTCGGCGCACCGTTTTGGGGTCCCATAATAACGATTAAAAACATTTTGGAGTCTATGTTGGGGTCCCCCTATTTAGGGAAACGACCACTTGTCTATGACTGTATCATTATCAGATTTTGGAAGAGGGTTGTAGGCATAGTAGGGTAGAAGGGGAAACCCCATATTGGGCAAACTTGCTTTTCTCGCTACACAGAAGGCTCACAACAGCCGTGCTAGCTAGCAGCACCGGTTGCGGATACACCGCATGAACAATGACCCAAAAAACAATGATAAAGGGACAGGTGACCCGAAGTAGCACAGCAAAAGCATGTGACACAGTAAAAAAAGGATGCTGATTGTAATGATTCGGATTGGCCAAAATAGCTGGAGAATGTGTGGGGACATTTAATGTTTTACCCGACCCACAAGCACAAAATGCAATCGTCAGACCAGCAGATCACTAAATTAGACTTCCTTTGAAAACACATCTAAAAAAGCCCTCTGCAGCACGTATGGCCCTCCGCATGAAAACATCTGCAAGGGCTTGTGCTAAACAGCAGACTGCCAAGCCAACTGACCCTTGCGTGTGGCCACGCTATTTCATACGACAAGAGCGCCCTCAAATAAATGGGTTGCTTATGGTTGCTTTGGACAAGTTGCTGGAACTGCACCCTGTCAGGGACACGACCTCCTTGCCAACTGCCGCCTGCCATCTTCTTCCAACGCAAACTTGACCACCACAACCACAACCAGAAGTAAATTCGCCAGAACAACAATGAGGACACTACACACACACAACGGTACTACAGTTATGAGCATCAGCAGCGATATGTCTTGATAGTGTTGTCACCGTCATCTGCATCTATCACAGCCTATATCCACCACCACCACCCGAGCCTGGCCAGCTGAGCGGTACAACTCATCCCAGGAGCCAGTGTTGCGGAAAACTTCGCAGCTCAGTTGCAGAGGCCCACGGCCAGGACGACTTCGGTGAACAACCTCGAGTCAAAGATGTCATGCAGGGTCAGTTCAAATGCCCTTCGATGCAGGCTGACAACGCCAGCAGTTCACAGGTCAACCCAGGATGCTTCTCCTGAGGCTCTCCTCATGTCGTGCTGGAATAGGACATAAGGCAAGTCACAGCCAGTAAAACCGCCGGGGTGTCCAGTCCAGTGTTGTGCGCATCAATGGACAGAACCTGATCAGCTTGCAAACCTCTCCCTGCGCAAAAAAGCTTCAGGGGTTGCCACGCCTGTCCCTGCTGAACGCCGGCTGCGAGCAGCCTGCGGATCATCTCGGCCGAGGCCTCTTCCCAAGCATCGCTGGCCATCTCTACCTGGAAGGCTTCCGGAACATCTCCGACAAGTTGCCAAAAGGCATATTGCACCTCGTGGCAGCATGCGGAGGGGTTGTAGAGAAGAAAACTAGAGACACTGAACAGGCACCGACTCAGCATGGAGAAACCGGGGTGCAGGATTCAAGGCGAGGGCTTCGCATGTTCTCTGCGCAAACTATGTCAAGGCATCATGGAAAGAAAAGCAAAAATTAGTTTGACATTCCATCTGAGGCACCGTGCGACCGTCACAATTAGAGGATGCTGTGAGGGACACGACCTCCTCCTTGCCTTCTAACAATGCGCATCCATCGACGTGTTGCCGATCCCAAGGTCCTGGCTGGAAGCACCCGCTGGCACTCTGCTGGCCAAGACAAGCGCATGTGCGTGCCGCTCTTTGCATGGCTGTTCCAAGATTCTTTTTGAGGCAACTGGAGGTTCCAAGCCCATCTATAGGCTCCCAAGATCACTTGCCAAAGAGTCGCTGTCCCCGTCGGTCCAAAGCCCTTCCCCAAGCCATGCAGCAAGAGTTCAGGCAGGCTGGACATTTACAAAAACTTCAGGATTGCCTCCCTTGCGCCTTCTCTATACCGCGAAAAAAATCTTAAAAACTCAGGCCACAGTAGATAAAAAAAAGCGAGCATCCGCAAAGAGCTGCATTTTTACCAGTCCCACTATCAATGATAATTGGGGGTTCACCAAAGCTATCAGCAATCGACTCCAGGGGCCTCTCCGGTTGAGTCCGCTCCACAGCAGCGCTGTCGGCCTGGTGCCTGCCAGACTGCTAACCTCCATGAAAATGCATAGCGTGCAGCAATCTAAGCCATTTACAAAAATGGGAATTTCCCAAAATTATGGGTACCTTTTTGGGGGTACCTATAATAAGGACTATAGTATATTGGGGTCTATATTTGGGTACCTTAATTGTGGGAAATTACCAAATGTCTGCAGGCATGGCCCTGGTCATGGTTGCTGTCGTCATGGTTGTAGCAGCAGAGGGGTGGCGGTATTGATTGGCGGTGACAGCGGCAGGAGTGGGAGTAGTACCGTCGTGGCATGGGTAGCAGTACTCGTCACAATGAGAGGAGCAAACAAGATTAACATCCTGTAGGGTAGTGTAACTGCAAGTCTCGAGCTACCGGGCAGAAAGCATGCTGTGAAAGAGAGAGCCACCTCTGGAATGCAGCAGCTTCATACGAGGAATGACGAGTTGTTGTATGTCCTTCGGTGGATCAGCAGTTGCTCTCACTAGGCTTGACTTTGTCGCAGTTCCGTCTGGGAACTTTTTCCAGACGTCCTACAACCTGCCTGGAGGAGGCTGATTTTTTCTTGTGTGCTACGTTAAGGCCAAAGCCAGTCTGCGCTGTGAGTTTCCGGCTGCGAACCGCAAGCAACAACTCGCGTTGCAAATTTCAGCCCCCTGCTAACGACTGGACAGCCATTCATCTTTGAGATTACGACCTTCAGAAGGCTATGATTCGGAGACCCTCTTGAAAGTAGGAGTATGCACTGGCATTTTCTTGCCCCTTACACAAAGCGGCTGCTCATCCATGTCTGGCCATTCCCTACTCTGTGAACAGCAAGAGTGGCTGGCCTTGCCGGCTGGTGGTGTAGAAAGCACAAAACATGGCCTCAGCTGTCTTTCTGACACCAAAGGAATCACTGATGGCTTGCATCACTTTACGATCAACCTAAGGCTACAAGTCGACGGAAACTGCGTTGCGCTGTTGATGCGCTTTTGCCAAATTTTGGAGGCTTCAGAGAACTTGTCTGAAATTGCCTGGTGACATTGTCATCCGGGTGCTCGTTGTGAGCGTCGACTGCCAATAGCTGCTCGTGCTGGATGCCCCTGAAATTAGGATATTTTCTCCCTGGAGAAGAGTGGAGGCAGAAGAAACATCTGGGGCACGCAAGCATAGCACAATTTGAAAGCCATGCAAAATCCGATGAGTGCACTCGACCTTAAGCGCTTAAGTACACAATGCCATATCACAGGTCCGTTCGCTGTTGTTCAGACAAGCTCAGGCGAGTCCATACCTTGAGTCCTGCTGCGGTTGAAGCAGTCTTAAGCAAAATGCAACACAATGCCAACAACATAGCTGGAACCTCAACAGGTTCAAAGAAATACGAATTGAAGGATCCTGATAAATCAACATCCAACCAGTGAGAAACGACCATGATGTCGAAAGCCTCGGTAGCTAGATTGTCTCGCCAACCTTCTGAAAAGAACATGCGAAGCCAAGCACATTGGATTTCTAAACCACACACCACAACCGAAGAAGATACCAACCAAGGAAACAAGTCTGAGCGTCGCCGTATGCAAAGCCAGAGCCAGCTTGGAAGCCGCCAACTCCCATGCACCACCGCTAACCGAAATGTAGTGAATATCTGTGACCTGGACGCAAAGTAGGAGGCAAGGTTACAGAAGCTTTCCCTGAAAGAGGGCTGAAACCCCTAGAGCCTTTACCTTCCATTCTGATCCAGGCCAGGGCCTTACTTTGCGTGGCTCCAACTTGCATTCGACCTACGATGTTCCGGTCATCGTGGATCCTTATGGGACGTCTAGGTACAAGGACAGTACTGGCTTCCTTTAGCTCCTAATGAGACAGCCTGTGTCAGCTCTCCAGCGTAGTAGAAGACTCCGATGTTCAGCTTTGGCCTGTGCCGGCAAGAGCTCCTGGAGCGTCGCGGACACGGCAGAAGCCAGAAGGCTGACTATAATTCATGTGGATGTTGCTACAATTGCGATAAATCATGATGCTACCAGTACTTTTTTTCTGTTGTCACAACTTCCAGCATACCCCCAGGCTCATGGTGATCGAGATGATCTCTCTGCAGGGAACTTGTTGACAGGCCCAGTCCAACATTGCTGCCGGACCAGTCCCAGACTCGCCACGAATCTGTCAAGGCGCTTAGGGTACAGGATTTGAATTCCAATGCCCAAGACCTGCAACAATTAGGCCTGCCTGATGTAGCCTGGACATGGACCTATACAAGAGGAAATTCTGTCTTTAGACAGGAGTGCCCGTTCGCATGCCCAAGACTAGGGGTATTTCTGAGCATTTACGTCCCCGTAGTTTCCCGGTATAATCTTCATATGAAAGGCACTGCAAATTTTTGAGAAATCTGCACATAAGAGTTTGCCTGAAAACGCTGTTCAAAACATACTTTGAGCACTCGGAATATCTAGCCTATATACACATGTTCCTGGTTGAAGGCTATCACTGGGTGCATTTTGAGGGGGTCCAGCGTTCCATAAAACAGGTGCCTGAAAGCCCTTTTCCGGTCTCTGAAGTACTTGCCGGACCAAGCCCCTTTGCAAGCTGACTGGGCAACACATGATAGGATAATAACGGGTTATATAGGGGTTTAGGATTTAGGATTTGACAAGAAATGGAAAGCTAGTACCTGATTTAGAGTTCACACTTGCGCAACCTGAGACTTCATGAGCTAAGATTGGCATTCAGAAGTTGGGAATGTTGCCAAACCGTATACCACCTGTGGATCCCTAATCAAACCTAATATACCCTTACATATCCCCATAACCCTAAACCCGAGAAACCCCCCCTAGACCCTAAACCCCTCGAAAGGGACAATTCTTCCGGGAGCTTTCCATGCATTGAATTTAGGATGCGCCCCAGTGCCTCGAAGGCCACCTGCAGCTGGCCCCGGCCTAGAAATGAGGGCTTCGGGTTTAGGACTTAGGGTTTAGGGTTTTGCCGCTTGCATGGCCACGCAGCATTGCAAGGTGGAAATCCAGGTCCTACT